ATGTTGAATTCCAATGGCGGAGTCGGTGCAGCCGACCGACTTCGCGAGCGAGCACTCGACTCTGGCGTAGAGCGAATCCTCCAAATCCGCCATCGGAACACAACCCGCCCTGCTGGAGCAAGGCGGAAGCTGCCGCGTTACCCAGGATACCTTGCGCGTGGTCTTTTCCGCTGTCTGTTTCCCACGTGGTTTACCAGCATCGCCGCATCGTTCGTTTGCTTGTTCAGCGCTATTCACCTGTGTGGAATGAATATCACGCCAAGCGTGCAACAGCTATTGTCCACGACGTCCGCTGTCGCTATCGAGTAGCAGAAGCATTGCCGCACGCTTTGCCGAGGTAGCCGAGCCGTCCATGCCGTCCGCCATTATCAACACAACTCGCGCCACGCCAGCCGCGCCCTCAAGCAGGCAAACGTGTTAAAGGAAATGCGTCACGCTGAGTTCCGGTCCACTCCACCGATTTCGGCGGAGCAGTTTTTCCTGCCCCACGGAGGGACTCCCGCTCTGAATCCCCTCCGGCTCTCTCATTGGAACTTCTGACTCTCGCTCTCACTCTGTCATTGGAACACACTTGCTCTGAAAGGAGCAGAAAAACTTGCTCCGACTCCGCCATTGGAATTCAACATAAGACACAAATGAAACATTTTGCGTGGGACCATGTTGGTTGTTTTGATCAAGTTTCTTAGCTCAGTGCTGGTTTAATGAATGTGGCTCACTTCGATTATAACAGTTGGATTACTTGGCTTATTTCTGATTAGAAACTGCCTTTTGGAGCTCGTGTTACAATAAGGAATGGCCACATTTTGTTTATAACTGTTCTAGAAATTGAAGATACTTAGGCATGCTTTATGTTCCACAAAAATTTAGCCTAGTTTCGGTTTCTGCGTTCGTCTCTTTTAGAAAAAAAAGCGCCTCACACATGTGCATTAAAGGATGGAGCGTTAGACAGCGTCGCTAGTAGCCGTGACTGCGAGTGTGGCACACCCCTTTTCTGTCTCGCGAAGCACGCAAATCATGCTTCGTAGCGCCCTGTTCAAAGAAAAAAAACGAGCCCTCAAATTCCCCTTCTTTCGTCTATTCATAGCAAGTTGAATGGAGCGATGAAAATTTAAGATGTCCGCAAAAGACGGTGTCACACGGTCCCGTTAATTAGGGAGGCGATCGCCGGGCTAATTCCAAGGACCGAAATATCACCCCCTCGAACCGCACCACGAAAGCGTGAACAATTTAGAAGTGGTCCTTATTGGCGCGCCAGCGGACGCCGGCTGTGGCCCAAAGAACAAGTCAGAGCCGAGAGTTGATAAACAAAACAAAATTATATTCTCAATAATGGCAGATGAAAACAATACACAAGTATGCACACTCCACAATAGTTGAGTACAATATGTCACCAATCAAACAACCTACTACACAGTACGATCAGCCACACTCGAAACAACGGACACAGACAACAATACGCACTACAATGCAGTCGCATGCATTGAACAACCAAGACACTTAAAGACTAAAGAGATAGAAAACCTATTCAGTCCAAAGTTCTTGGAACAAAAGTCTGGATGATACTCTTCCGAGAATCACTCACTCAAAGTCCAGCATTGTTGTCGTTCCGCTGCCCCCGAAGTTTCTCTTCCATGCAGGAAACCTCTGTCGTTCCGCTGCCCCCGAAGTTTATCTTCCAGGGAACCTCACGGCTTCACTTGGCCGCTCTCCAAGCTTCAAACTTCTTCGCCGGAAACACGTCGGCTTCACACACGCAGCGGTTGCCACGCGTCTTCGCTCGATAGCGGTAGACACACACTCTTGCCTGTAGCTCGAGCCTTCACCCCTCAGGTGGAAATCCTCTTCTTCTCCTGCTTTGTCCCTACGGACAAAACCTTCGCCGACTACACGGCGGGATACCCTACGCGCTCTGGCGCTAACTTCCGTCTTCTCCTGATCTCTCATCTCGGCTGCTGGATTAAATACCTTCCGCGCGAGATTCCAGAAAGTTCTCGTCATTTCGTCGGCGCGATGCGCAGCGAAGGCTGGGGTAAAGGACGAGACGGTTCGAAGGCCGTCCGCGACGAATGACGCAACCCGGCATCACCACGCCCCTTTCCATCTAGAATTCTCCAGAGCTTGCTCGGCCGCCGATGTGGGGTGAGGAGGTTCGTCGGCGAACATACGCTTCCGAGAGGAGAAAGGCGCGCGCCCGGGGAGTCTTTGGATGCTTGTTTTCTTTTTTAGGGGCGAAGCTCCTTAGGGCGTGGGCTGTGCGTCCCCTGTAGCCTGTATGTAGCCACCTCTACTTTAGTTCTTGCAGTGTTCACTAGATGGCGGTACCGTCCCCTGTATGTAGCCACCTCTAGTTTAGTTCTTGCAGTGTTCACTAGATGGCGGTACCGTCTCCTGTATGTAGCCACCTCTCGTTTAGTTCTTGTAGTGTTTACTAGATGGTGGTACTTGTAGCTGATGATGAAAAGATGCAAGATGTTATAAACTAGAAAGCGGTACTTGTAGTTGATGAAAGACGCGAGATCTTATAAAATAGGAATGATGTCACATATGGCGCGTGTCATTGGTTGAAGGCAATCGTTCGATTTAGTGCGGCGACGTACGCTAGGGGGAGCGATGTAATAAAATCGAGTGGGCAAAATGTACAGAGGATTCATGGTTTACCAGGTTTACCTCCGGAGCTTCGCCCACTCATCATCATTCACTTCGTGGATTTGGCGGAATTTTTTTATCGTTGACCTCTCGGCACTTCGTCACAAGAATTTGGCGGCGGGCCCTTTTTTGAGCGCTCGTTTTGTGACACTGCCCCCCACTTTAAGAATATTATCTCATAATATTCAAAACCACACAAACGAGCGCGAACAGTCCCTACACTCTCAGAGACTGTAACATAGTCAGTCTCTCATGACACGTCACATTCACAATAGATCACTCAATACAATTGTACATTGTAATTCAATCTCACAACACATGAAATATAGCCACAGGTGCATGAGTACAACACTCCATCATATATTCCAAACAATACAAATGTACAAAGTTCTCTCATTATAACAATTGTACAATACTATACATCACATCACTGCAACAAACATTTTGATTCACACGACATACAGTTGTGCCACAGGACAACAACCACATTAACTTAACATATTGCACTCAGCACTGTCAAACACATATTTCGAGTCGACCTCAACACCTATCCCGTGTACTTCGAGCTGCGCTTGCATCCTTTCTTGCGGTGCTCGCTCGATCTCTTCTTGTTTTTCCTCGTTTTGTTCCGGCGAGCCCTTTCCACCGATGGTATCTGAGGCGGCGTTTCAGCCATCGTTGTCACTTTCGAAACCGTTAACGGGTCATAACATTGAACCGATCCTGTCACCCACGTGTTCATGTCACGACATTGGGCCTGGCTGGCCGACTCCGTCACTTTTACACTGTCGGTCGGTTGAGGTCGAGCTGACGTAAGTCCAGCTGCCCAGCACGTAAACTCATTCAATACGATGATGTTCTCATTGACTGTCTCTTGCGCCCAGGCTTCACCTTGGGCTCGAGTGAAATCCTTCACGCGACTGTTCTCTGCTGTATCTCGCGGTCCCTGTGTCGGCGGGGGCTCCATCTTCGGGTCTTCCCCCAAACATTCTGGATCATTCGGCCCTCGCACCCCGTCGATGTTTCCGATGACGAGGTCGTATAGGGGGGTCGTCGTGCATAGAGCCGGAACCTTCCCGCTGAAGTACGGGGTTTCAACCTCAATTTCTGCTTCGGGAAGCATCCGAACCGTACTGTCAATTAGGCAAACCGGTTTCGTTTTGCCTGTCAACTCACCTTCCCGTACCAAATTTCTCCGCACGATAACAGTGGAGCTGCCGGTATCTCTTAACACCGTAAGCTTTTTGCCCGCAACTTTTCCAGGCAGCGTTGGCATTCCCTTCGTAACACCGGTTGGTTGTTTTGTCATTACAGCACCCACAATAGAGATTTTCTCTCCATTTTTCAACTCTACAAATCCGTTGGTGACGGCTTCACCATCGGATTTCGGTGCTGCTAGCACACAGGATACCTGGTGAGTTTGACTCGCTCTGTTACGACATGCGTCTGCTTTGTGCCCAGTCTGACCACACTTTTTACTACCGTAGGGCTCGTAAAGTTAGTACGACAGTTGCGCTTCAACGAGCATGGGAATGATGGGTAGTACACACATTTGACTAATTTTCGTACTTCTGGCCTGCTTCTGGCTCCGTGTGTGTTCGTGTGGCTCGGAGCTGTTTTTCACGAAAACATAAATTAGCAAATGTTCACCGTTTGCGCTTCACATTCTTATTTTTTTAACCCTACTATTTTGAACCAAGTCCCCAAGTTCAAAAGGGTTTGTTCTTTCTTTCAAAACAAAACCGTAACCAGTAATAAACGAAGCCGCAAGTACAATTCGCCACCCGCAAGTACGAAGACTAGGCAAATGTGTGTTCTACCTATAGTGAACTAGAAGTACTCTAGTGATGCGACCGGCCAGGCTCTGGCGCCAGCCTTTCACACGAATGGCGCGAGGTGGCGCCACTGCTCCATTTCCTAGGAGCTTCGGCTGCGTTGACCGGCCGTCGCTGGCTCCTTCTGAGTTGCAGCTATGGTCAATTCTAACGCGCGTGTTTGCTTCCTGGCTCATGCAAACGTAAAATTGCTAGGTTAGTTATTGCGTGGCTCAGCGGTTTGTATATACATAGTTTGGCCAAGAATATATATATATATATATATATATTCATATTTACCACACGCGGTAATAACATTCGCTACAAAGCGATTGCTCATCACCATCACAAGCTTACGGCGCGCTTCCACTATAGTTTTGGTGCTGGCTTATTACATAGAAGGTCATGGTAAGGACACAGTGCTCAGCATCGAAAATGAAAACAGGAACATCTTTTTATTTATTGTGATGGTTGGAAGAGTACAAAAAAATACAAAATAACAAAATAAATTTTACTAGTTTAACAGCTTTTCAAAACTATTCAAAACGACAAAAGTCGTGAAGAAAGGGTTTTCTTTACAGGCAGGTGTACACGACAGTTAATGTACGACTTTCTTGTCAGTAACGCTTTCCTAAGGGACTTGCATTCTGCACAACTTGAGCCTGCAAATGAACAAACAATGCATACATTAAAATCACACCCCTCAATACCTGAGACAATGTGGTAATGTTATGGGCATCCTAATGCACTTTACGTCTACTTACCTTCAGAAGAAACTTTTCCGAAGCAGCGTACGCTGATCACGGATCGTCCAGCAGTGTTTGCTTCAGCTCGATGATGTGCGGTCAGCCGAGAGGAAAGCGGCTTGAATTCTTGTTTACACATTGCTCCCTTGCAGACAGGGCTTTCTCGAGCTTCTTCCAATACGGATGTGGCCTCAGCAAGGGATTGCACGGGTTTCTCTTGACACAAAACACCTTGATAGAAGACTTCGGCTACAATTTTTCCTTCTGTGGACATAAAGCACACAGCTTTTTCATGAAAAATATCCAGTTTTGTACGCTTGCTTATCACTGTCGTCACAAATATTAGATCGCAGTGGCCAACTGCTTCTATACGACACCAGTAGTTTGCAGGAACTTCAAGTGTGCGAATAGCTTCAATTGAAAGTCGCGCACTAGTGGCAGCATTAAAGTCCATGCCTTCCATTTCACCGCCGTCGCACACTTCGTCAGGTGCATCAGGCCTGCGCCGTTTTCTGCTTGCGCCTTCAGGAGGTTTGGCTGCTTTCCTTCTCTCGGGTCTTTGCTTGGGCGCAGCGACGGAAAGGTACGCTGGACAACCTGGCAAAAGCGTTGGCACGGCATCAGGCACCAATGACGGTTTTCCTCGGGGAGTGCGCACTTCACAGCCATTTATCACGTGCACATATTCGCGCAGAATATATCTTGGCTCGAAGTGATGTTCGCACACCGCTGATGTTTCGGTCAGAGGCTTGTCATCCCTCCGGAGGTTACGCTCCCACTTTCTGCGGAGATCGTCTTCTCTAGGAGCTGCAAACAACGATGCCTTCGGGGCGCCCGGGTAGCCGCTTCGGCAACCCGGAGCAAAACAGTGTGAATCCGTCCTCCGCTTCGACATGTCACGAGCTACATGTTTGTTGGTACGGAATACCTGAACAGGTAAAGACAGTTGCTCCACAACGGTCCGTGCGAGAAAATGCAGAGCAGAGTATACCGGTACACGTGCAGTACAGTAGCTGCAGACAAAGCGATGCGCAGGATACCGGCAGACGTGCTGAACTAACGCGCTGAATCACCAAGTGACCGCGCCTCGCCTAGGAAAAGGCGCAGTAGCGCCACGAGAAACCCTAGCGGCGGTCCGTGGTATTTTCGACCGCCAAGAGAGGCGGCGTGGCCTGGCGGTCGTGCCACTAGAGTACTTCTAGTTCACTATAGTTCTACCCAACATTCCCATGGTCGCTGAACGATCGCAGCACCAGAGTGCCCTTTAGTTAATTTTGAGAAACTCTATGGTAAGCGCTTCCAACGCTTTGCTAAGACGACACGGTGGTGGCACCTGCCCGTCACTTTGCGTTCTAGACCTTATCATTTCCGAGACAAGCGCACATCGTTCTCCGCGGGCGCGCACGCCTTCCTTCGTTTTCTAACTGCCAGATAGCGCTCGTGTCTAACGTGGCTCGATGCGCTCGTTCGCCTCCGATACACGCTCGAAGCACTAACGCAGCGCCTCCAGAATAGCATTCAACAATTTTCTTGCGCAGAACATCAAATAAACGTTTTGCTGACTCTCTCCAGACGCAAGATTATCGTCTTTCGACGACATATGCAGTGTAACATGCAGATTCGGGGCCAATTTTCTTTATCTCTCTCGCACACACAGTAAGAGATATGGATGGATGCATCGACACTACGCTTGTCCGAATGTTCGAACTATTATGACAGCATTCCAATTCGTTTTCATTCAACTTTAAATTATCGGAAAATTGTCGAAGTACTCGAAGTCAACGAATAAGTGTATATTACTCCGCATGCAACTTCTCTGTAAATGTGGTTTCACTGCAGTGGAAATCTGCTGTACCATGAACACACCTATCCAAAGGTCTCCTCAATTTGACTGCACTTTCTGCACTAGTTCAAGAGTGTTGCACTTTGGTCCTGAATTTGGCGACTGCAGCTTGCATGTCTGTCCTCGATTTGACGCCGTACATGCTGCACGAGTTCAATGACACTTCAGGTCAATTAGTTTCACCTGCACTTCGGTATTTGTTTCAAAAGTTCAACAAGGCGGCAACAACACCGCAGTATTCACGTAGCTGTGATGCAAGGCTAGCTCACCAATTCCCTGCACCTGCTCGTGAGGCAGTGCCGAGTCCGTGCAACACAATATGGCTGCAGCTGCAGCAGACGACACAGCCAATTGCGTTCGTGTCTGCTTTAGTGACGTGCAACAAGTAGGAAAGTAAAAATTTTCCGGTAGACACATGCCCAGCAACGTAAGCGGCCCCATCTTTCACGAATCACAGCCTCCGCAACCATCGAGACAGCCAACGAGTAGCATAGGCCTTGCAAGACATCAGCACTCTCGTATTCTTTTCCCCATCTCTTCGCTGCTGCACTTGCTGCAACGTCACCTGCACCCTACCTGCACGAAGACAACACTCAGACGGCACCACCGTGAACTAGTTCTGGAAGTGCAGGGTGAATCAAATGGACCTTTCAGCGCTAGCCTTCCGTGAGTTCTCGTCTCGTGCAAGTAGCTCTAGGTAAATGATGCGGCTGCACTTTTGCCCTTGATTTGACCACTGCACCGAAACCACTAGTTTCGTGCTGCACTAACAGTTTTCAAGACATTACTTTTCAAGCAAGTTGATGCAGACAGCTTCCAAGCACAAAAAAATCTCAGCTCGAGAAATTTCAAAATTTTATTTTACATTCATGAAACTTTACATATTATACACTGCTCGACACAGAGATAACATTACCAGAGCACATAAAAAAGTGTATGATTGAACTTGGAATTGTACACCCCAGAAACTTGAAACAAACACTTTAAAAGTGAAAGAAGAGATGACAATGTACCATGATGCATATTTTAACCAAGTGCACTGATCATTCATACAGGCATTTTGGGTCACTAAAACTTGTTTGAATAAGTGCAAAAAAGTTGCAAACTAAGAACAATGTACACAAATACTAACAGATGACACTAACAAATTTAATGGAAACACACATTAACAGCGAATCCAAGCAACTGTTTAGTTGTGTAATAACTGTGAGGGATGAAAGAAGTCACTAAGAAAAGCCACAATATACATTACAATCTAGGGAGCTGTATTTGCAGAAGTTTGATGTCAAAGTACGAAAGCCACAAGGTCAGAATGACCTTTTTTATCTTTTGGAACTAGTAGATCAGCATTACAGGGTGCAGCATAAGCAAGACATCTGGGACATTTCCAGTGGCGAGGAAGAAAAAACATTATGCAGGTATCGCACACCACAATTGACGTTATGCAAAATATTGTGAAAATAGTAGCTGGCTATCTAGCATTGCTTGCAGTTCTGTAAAGCATTAATTGTACTAACACGTTTGTGTTATAATAACAGGGACAGGGTCACTACGATTGTTCATTCTATTCTACCAGAAAAAAATGTTTTACAAACTGTTGCTACTCGGGTCAATTCCAAACAATGCACCAACGTTATACCAATGTCACACGGGCACTTTTAATCGCGATCAGTGTCAATCTGGTATAACCACGATCTAGATTAGGTGCTGCTACAGGGTCACTTTTCTTAATCACGATCATGCGTGATCTGGATCAAGACTATCGCGATCCGCGCATCGTGATCTGCCTGAGAGATCGCGATTTTGCTGCCGTCTGCACCCCCTAGCCGAGCTTGTTGAAAGCATAATAAACAAGAAAATCAAGCATAGTTCGATAGAAACGCTTTAAAACATCTAAATGTTTATAAAAAAGGAAATTCTAAACTATTTAAATGAAAACAATATCTAAAGTGAAGCATATTTTAGGATTCGCATCGACTGCATGTAGTTACGGGAGAAGCAGACAGCAAGTAGACGACAAGCAGTCGACCGTTGCCTTCAGCGCTTAGTTCAACTCTCGCTCCGTCACAGCTCTTAGAGCACCTAGAAGCAAACTGATTGAGTGTTGCAAGCACTTCGACTACGTCGCAACAAACGCGCACTTCGTGGTCGAATGAAGAGATCTTTACAATAATTGATTGCTGGCAGGAGTGCCTGGAACAGACTTGAGGCGCCAGAAGTGAAACACTGGCGTGTAAAAAGAGATTGACGCTTCACTGCGACTACACGGATATGAGCGGGGCCATCAGAACAAAAAAGCGAAGGTTAATAACCTCGCACAGCAATACAGGTAAATGCTAAGAAAATTTTACCGAGCGATAGATTTATGAGATTACTATCGCAGTAGGCCTGCAAAGTTTTTGACGTTTGACCCGTTCTTGCACATATAACATTGCTGATAAAGGGCTCTATAGGTATACCGTACGTCAAGTTTTGTCAGTGGTATGTTTTACGGCACGCAAATGCTCCCTGGGGCATCTCATCTGACCCTCGCTCGAACCGGATTAGCTTGGGCCGTGTAGCGTCGGTTATAAAGTTGATCGTGATCAAAAGAACCCATCCGGATCGCCCTGATCTCAATTAAAAGTGCCAGTGTGACACCAGTATTATATTGCTCAATTACCAGCTGCCACAGGAAAGCACTGGACCAAAAAGGTCGGGCAATCAGAAAACTGGTGAACTCCTACTTTGCACCTCAAAAGAGCCGACTGCAATGACAGGAAACACTGGTACACCAATGCTCTTATAAACAACCTGCTGCCATACAACATAATGCAAGCAAAGTAAGCAGAAATATTAGTAATTATTTTAAGATTCCATTTTTGCATTCAGCCCAAACCACATAAGCGCGAAAATGCACGCGACAGCGACGAGCGACGCGACGTAGACCGTCTTCGCGCGATCAGTCGCTAGCGCAGGCAAACCTCATTCACGCGACGGCTTCGGCGAGCGAACTTCACTGTTGCTGGCATGAGGCCGTCCTATCGCACCAAGAAAACCGCGTAGCGAGCGGTATGCAATTTAAAAATAAGATATATTGTTGTGTAATGAAACAGAAAGTGTTTTTTATTGCCTTGCAGCACTCTTTATAAGCACATGCGTAATAAACATTGCGTTATTTCTTGTTGCGCATACGTGACTCGGGCAGGGTCACGTGCACCTACGTAGTCTTTGTCTTTTCCGGTTTTTTGCTATTGGCTGCTTGAGCCCAGCACTTCCGGGCGATGAGCGACGGCTTCCAAATCGGGAGAACCGAGCGATCGCGCGAAAACGAGCACGCGACACGTCGCGCGAACGCCCTGTTTCGTCGCTCATAGCGTCGCTCGTCGCGTGCATTTTCACGCTTATGTGGTTTGGGCTTTATAGCCTAATATTGTTACGAATAAATATAGCACCTGGTACTATATAAACTCTTTATTTAGGGCGAACTTGTGCCCGTAAACTCGAAGCTAAAAATGGTCAGCCAAAAAAATGTCTGTGCCCGCTGACTCTAACTTCGTCGGTCTCTTCTTCTGCCCCTCGAGTCTCGTGCCAGTCCCATGGCATAGCATCGTGGCGCGTGCAGGACGGCGTTCCATGGCGCAGCTTTCTTGCTACTTGCTTGACGGCTTTTACGAACGCGAATTGTGGTACGCGTCTTCTGCGATGGTCGAGCTGTGTCATTAGTCCCCCTCCTAGCACGCATCGCCCCGATGCGTAGAGCCGGCTGACAGTTTCTAAACAATAGGACTTGTCCTTGTGTTAGACGACGTTGTTCAATTCCTGTCGTAGTACGGTTTCATACGTACATGTACAACTTCCGGGAGATTCCTGTGTCGTGTTGTGCATACTTGACCTTCAGGGATCACTTCGTAGTTTAATGGGCCTAGCTGACGAAGAACCCTGTAAGGGCCAAAATAGCGCCGCATAAGCTTTTCTGATAGGCCACGTGCGCGTACAGGCGTCCAGACCCACACTTGGTCTCCAGGGGAGTATTGAACGTCCCTTCGTCTTAGATTGTAACGGTGCGCGTCGACGTTCTGCTGTTGAATGGTGCGGTTCCGTGCTAGTTGTC